CCCAGCCTTAGAATTGTTGTCGCCGCCAATCCTTCCATCTGCTGAGCGCCCCCTCCCACCGGATGAATCAGGGCCCCCAAAAAACACACGTTTTCACCATCTGCCAAGGTGGGCACATCCCAGCCTTCTGGGGCAATATAGCCCTGTGGGAGGATGACCTGCGACTTCCGCCAATTCACCCTGGCTCCTGAGTATAGTGAAAACAATTCCAGATCCATTTGGAGGCGCCTTAATTGCTGTGTGGTAGGAGGGATGACTGCACCGGTGTCATCTGCACAGGCAGTGGACTTGAGGACCATATCTTGTCTGAACTGCAGTCCCTGCAAAGCTTCATCCCCTCGAAGGAGGTCGTGTAGGGCCTCTATGTAGATGACATACAGAGCAGGTGAAAGCGGGCACCCTAGCCGTACTGATCTGGTAAGTTGCAAAAAACCGGAGCGCACCCCATTCACTTGCATACACGTGCGTGCTGCAGCCAGGAGCTGTCGAGTCCAGTGACAGAAAGTTTCCCCAATGCCCCGCCGATGCAAACTTTGAAAGAGGAATTCTCATCTCACCCGGTCGTAGGCTTTTTCAAGGTCAATTGTAACGAAAGTCAGTGGCTGGTCGCAGACCTCCTGGTGCCTAAGGATCTGTCTAGCCAGCATAATGTTCGAAACAATCTGCCTCCCCGGAACAAACCCCGCTTGAGCGGGGTTGATAATACAAGGCAGCACCTCATTGAGCCGGTTCGACAGTACCTTGGCGAGGATCTTGTAGGGAGCATTGAGGATTGATATCGGCCGCCAATTCCTGACATCCTCGCGGGCACCCTGCTTATAGATCAGCACCACAAAGGCGTCTGCAAAGCCTTCCGGGAGATGTCCCGCGTGCAAAGCCTCATTGAAGGCCCGCGTGAGGAGTGGACCAAAGAAATGATTCTGTGCCTTATACATTTCAATAGGGACTCCATCCACCCCCGACGCCTTGAGTCTTGGCAGCTCTCCAATCGCCCTAAGGACCTCTTCTAGCGTGATGTCCATCTCCAAAGGCTGCGCCTGCTCCTCAGTGAGGTCAGGCGGGACGTGCCTCCAAATGTGCTCCTGCGGGGCCGTCGCCATGTGCTCCACAGTCCATTCCTCCTCCTCCGTAAACAGATCTGTATAGAAGTCCGTTACACAGTCCAAAATCCCCAACGTAGTCTCTTGCCTCGCCTGTCGCAGGTCAAAGGGGGGGTCCATTGCCGTCATGAGGGCAATCCCCTGCTTCTTTCCCAGCTCTCTGAAAAATCGTCGAGACATCTTCTCACCCACCACAGTCCATCCCACCTTTGATCTGCGCCCCCAGCGGGCGGTTTCCACCGTCTCCCACTCTTGCCACTCCCGCACGGCCTCCACTCGCTCCACCCACCATTCCTCTTCCGTCTGTTCGTCCTTGGGGCCACAATTAAGCGCATTGAGATGGTCTGCGTACTTCTATCCTGTGGCCAAGTGGGCACGGTAGCTACCGGCCAGCCTATCATGCAGACACCTGCGCATCAGAGCATTGCCCTGCGCCACCCATCCCAACTCATCCATTCCTTGGGGGCGTCGCGGTAGCCAGTTATCCCAATGTTGTTGAATCAGAGGTTTATACTCTTCGTCCTGAAAGACCCATGCGGGAAGGGACGGTTGCGGATGACCCACCATAATGCCCCCCACCGGAAAGTTGGCTGCGACCTTTACGTGGTCTGACAGTGCTGTTGGAAGGTATGCAATCTCACTGCCGCACCTGAAGATCGAACTCGAGGCCCACACCATGTCAATCCGGCTCCTTCGGTTTGCCGATCCATACCAGGTGAACTCCCGTCCCGCAGGGAAGGCCGTGCGGTAGATGTCCCACACAGTCCAGTTCTGCCATAAACAACTGCAGCGCCTCCGCATCTGCCGTGGGCGGGCGTTCCTGGGGGGAATCCAGCCCCGGGTGGATAGTGGTGTTGAAATCCCCAGCAAACACATAGCATTCAACTTCGGGGATTTGGGTTCTGAACTCCGCCCAAAAGTCGGTCCGCGCGCGGGGATCCGAGGGTCCATACACGGACACCACACACCAGCGGGTCCTCCCCCACTGTAGCATCACCCAGGCCCATCGCCCCTGTCTGTCCCAGTTCCAGTCCACCAGTTCCCCTCGAAAATGGGGGGATATCAGGATAGTCACGCCCCCCTGCGTTCCTCTATCAGTTGCTCCTTGCGCAGGGGCCCAGACTTGAGATCCCTTCCACCAGGGGGCGTCGTGCAAACAGAGCCCTTCCCCCAACTTACTCTCCTGGAGGCAGAGAACGTCAATCTGGTGTTTGCGGGCCGTACGCTGCAGCTCCCATCGCTTCGGATTTAGAGACCRAGTCGACAAGCCCTTCACGTTCCAAGTTAACAGCTTGAGCTTAGTTAATCGGTTTCTTCGATCCATCCCGGCAGCCCCAACCGGACGGGTGGAGGAAGAAACACCAGAGTGTAAACAACAAACCAAGCAACACACAGACAAGCAAAATGTAGTCAAAACGCAAACAACACACAGACAAGCAAGCAAACAAGCGAGTTAGCAAAACAAAACAAACAAGAATACAGCCGAAAAAACTACAAGATTC